GTTATATGGAAGTAAACTCAGACTAGTGCAGAAGTGTTAAAATTCTTGTAACTTAGTTTCCTCAGTTTTTTGAAAGTTTTATGCTGTATTGTTCATGAAAGATCGACGTAGAATTTTGCTTTGATCATAGGTGAGAAAATACGCATATTTATATTGAAATTGATAAATTAAACCGGAGTTATGATTCTAAACTACAATGGTCATCCCAGTAGTATCTGTTACGTGCCTGATAGAAGCAAAAATTTCACTTTTTATGTGAATGTAAAATTGCATGTGTTATGACACCGTTGAGCCTTGGCCTGCCTACACGATTGTTTCCAACTATTGGAATTAGGAATCTAATGTGACTCCATCACATAGACCTGAAATTTTATGTTAATTAGGTGATTCGCGTGCTGACTTTTTGTTGTTTAAATCCATAGTATTATGAACATTTTTGGCTTCAATGTTTTTTAGACTTTCACTGGAACATCTAACATAACGAACGTATCGGATCAGCGTGAGAATGGTAAAATGCTTGGCGATCATGTCAAAGGTAAAGCCAAACAGACCACAATCACTACAAATGAAGCAGTGAAATTACCTGCTGTCGTGACCTCGAACCTGCGACTTCTAAACAAACGAATTGTTGACTTTGAACAGGTAAACAATGGTTTGGAACCGTGGGCGAAAGACTTAAAACCGCAGATGTTGCGGCTACGTGAGTCATGTCCTCCGCAGACGGTTGAGGACACCACCACCATCGCCGTTACAACATCGTCGCCCTCCGAACCGAGTGTAATTGAACGGGTCAAATGGCTGATGACATGGCTGGATATGCGCAACCTGCAGCTGAATGAATTGGTAAAACAGCTGCAAAAGAACAATGCCATTCTGCAGTTACGCATGACCCGGTCTGAAAGAACGTTAAACAAAGTGAAGACAGCCTGGTTGAGTGATGATGGGTCTGCTTTGGAGCATCATAAGGCATTGAAGGTCCGGATCCGAAAGCTGGAAAGACAGCTGCGGTCGAAAATCCGTGAGAACATGGAATTCTGCCTGAAAATCGAAGAGCTGTCGAAGTTGAAGGATCGTTGCAATCAACAGTTGTTGCAATATGAAAAACAGTTATCAGAGAAAGACAATATGCTCAACGAAAGCGCTCAGTTACTTTATGACTTGGACGCGACACAGACTCATGGTATTTCTGCTGTGAGCTGTTTTCCAACAAGGAAATGAATCTATCTATTGGAATACCAATGTTTTTGAACAATTATGTTAGAAATACGTTGAACTTTCTCATCGATGATGCTCAAATATAGTCACAAATTTGACCTGCGTTATACCTAGATGTTCAGATTTTCTAGCACTACTCCGAATTAATTATCGACGAACTTTCTGCTTTTGCAGCTGCTGTAACCCGTTGATATATAACGAATGGCGAGATTTATATTACAGTTACTGTTCATTAAAATCATAAATTGTTGGTACGT